GCGTGGCACCGCCCACTTATGATCACATATATGTATATCGGTAACCGTTCTACCAATTTGTACCAAGCTCGGTGTGGTTATTGTGCTTGCCACATATAAACAAAACGTTAAAAATTATTGAAATCGGACTAAAATAACGGCCGCTTCTCATATAACGGTAAATTTCAGAAATGCTTGAAACTTCAATATTTCGAAATTGAAGGACGCTAATTTACTCAAAATTGATACACCCCGGCTTACCATCTAGCGGAAGGTTTCGGAAAGGTGAAAAAACATATATTTAATACTTGCGCCGGGTATTTAATGTTCGGCTCCGCCCGAACTTAGACCTTCTTACTTGTTGTATTATATACTCGTTTATTTGTATTTGATTTACACGAAAATTCTGTAGATGATTGATATTGTCGGGCGAAACGTAGGACAAGGCAGAATATGATAATTCGTCAACTGAACTAAATGAACTGAATGAACTAAAGAACTAGTTTACTAAGGAGAGCGAACTACAACTGAACGGTTCGCTCAAAGCAACTAAAGTGCCCAACTCTAATATGTATGTATACATATCCTCTAAATTACTGCGAAGAATACGCTGCTAATATATTGGTTGTGAAAGTGATTTTGTTCTTCACAATACTGTAATTGCTTTTACAACAAATGAACCTTACACACGTAGTCATAATTGTGAATTAGAATTCCCTTTTCGAGTTTCGTATGTTGCGTCCTGCCTGGTCCGAAAATTTTCTATTATTATTTGTTACGCTGCGCCTACCTGGGCCGCTGAGTTTGTGAGTTCAAAGACCTCACACATCAAATATGAATGTATGCATTTACAAATATATATATATGTATGTATGTATATGAATGACTGGCATCAGATCGAACTGCATTGTTAGAGACGGCAGTTCAGCTGATTTTTCAAAACAGTTGGTAAGACTTTACCAACTGCTTCCAATTTGTTGCCGTCGTCTTCCCTCCTTTTCATTGGCACATGCCATGCCTGCTAGCAACTGTGATGAAAATGCTGTAAAAGAAATTGTGGCATATGCATTTTTTTACTTTCATTCCAGTTTTCCTTTTTCAGTGTTTACATTTATTCACTAGGTTTTTGAATTGTCGATGGTGTTGATCGTTCGTCACGATCACGTCTGCTTAATTAAATGCGGATTTTTAAACGAATCTTGTGTCCTGTATGGTAAACGTAGCCTCTGTTGATGTAATTTGTGGTAGTTCCTCTGTTTCCATAAAAACTTTAACTAGCTTTAGAACATACAAACCGGTACACATTCGACATATTATACAACTAGTAGAGGGTAGAGGGTGGCAGTAAAATAACTGGTTTACTTTTACTACTAACTTCAGACATAATACTTATGTATATACATTACACCTTTCCCAGTTAAATTAGAATATAATTACTTCCAATAAGGATCGCTGCGTATATACCGGAAACACTCCAAATGCAATTGCGTCCTGTGCCAGGTGCACAAGCATCTTTACCTAACGAACAAAACCACAGTATAGCCAGACACAACAATAAATCAAACCAGTGTGAACAAAATACTAAATATGTGGCTGTGTATATGCATATCCCAAGAACATCGAAGCGAATGCATATGAGCACACAATATAAATGAAGTCCTTTCTGTCACAGCGTCAGTGTATAAACCGGCAGGCTTTGTGAGTGGCGTCAGCGATCACGGCGAATACGCCCATTCATTGCTTTTTATGCAAAACCAAATAGAGAACAAAAAAGTGATTTCCGCTTAAACGCATGTCCCACCTTCACTTCGACTGCATTTCCAAATGTTGCAATTCTAATTATACATATCTAACACTTAGTGGATGGAATAAAAATATATATGTATATTGGGGTGATCTAAAATTGCTTGTGAAAAATGAAATGTCGGGATTTTGAAGCTCTAACACCCTAGGATTGTTCTGGAGTCTGGACTAAAAAAATATACCTTTTTTTTATTTTGAAATCAAAAAATACTTAGAGGTTGCTCAAAGCGCCCAATTTTCAATTATTTTACATATATGGGGGAAAACAACTTTTCGTAGAAATGGTATGGAATTCTTGAAAGTCAATATTTTTCGATCGGAAAACTCTGTTTCTCTTCTGAAG